TTATGAAAGTGGGTGTGTGTTCCTTCCATGACCCTATTTATTAGCCATTCCTTTGTATACTTAACCTCCTGAAAGTTTTTTTTTTTTCCTTCATAGTGCTAGTCATACCTCAACCTTGAAAATTCTTTCATTTTTCTCTGTACTTAAATGGCCCCAACTCCACTCATATTTTCTGTTCACATTGATTTTATGCTGTTGTGCTGTTGTTTCCCTCCTGTCTTACTGCTGCCTTGTCCTGTGCTTTCTACATTTTCTTTTCTGTTCCAAATCATTGTCCCAAGCAGCTCACTTATGCCCTGAAATATCAGGAAAACCAGGCAGGACCCTAGTGTCCTCCCTCTCTCAGCAGAGGGCTAAGGCTAGTTTTGCTGAGCTTTAGAAACAGGAATCAAAGAACTCATCAAGATACAAACATCTGGGATGGTAAACTTCAACATGGCTTTTTCTTTTTTCTTAATGAACAGTATTTACCTGCAGTCAGTGTGGTCAGTGCTTGTAAATGGTGCTGTCACCTTGCTCCACTGATTTAAGTTATGTGTGAAGGATTCACATGGAGGTCACTAGATGTCTCTGATATAGCACTTGATACAGCTAAACTGGAAAACACAGGAAGAGAATGTTTTGTATACAATACAAAGCAAGACAGTATCTCTTCAGTAGTTGTTAATAGCAAAATAGCATTCTAATGGGAGAGAGAGAAAAAAACCCCTCATGTTCATGAACAAGATGAAACTGGTTTTCCACATATTCTGCAGTTGTCCTCCATTATCCGTGGAAGATGATTAAATTGTTCGCTATAGTCTTTGCTACCATAACTACCATTGCTTCATCCTCCTCAAGGGTTAAGGTACCCTTGCTGTTTCATTCCTTTTGGCTTCTGAGCCACAAGGGCAGAGATGAAGGAAAGCTTCATTCCAAGTTTCACCTGGAATCACACCTGGCTTACTACACTTGAGCACCTGGCTTGGGGCGTTCCCTAAAGCACAGGTACAGGCTGGGCAGAGACTGGATTGAGAGCAGCCTTGAGGAGAAAGGGGTGTTGGTCGATGAGAAGCTTAAGAGGACCTGGCAGTATTCACCAGGTTGGACAGGGCTTTGAGGAGCCTGGTCTAGTGGAAAGTGTCCCTGTCTATGGCAGGGTTGTTGGAACTAGATTACCTTTACAGTCCCTTCCAAACCAAACCATTCTGTGATTGTATGAAATTCTGCCAAACCCTGATTTCCTACCAGGAGAAGAAAATAAAATTCAAGTCCCCTTCAAGGGGACTTCAAATAAAATTCAAGTCCCCTTATCATTTTAAAAGGTGCTCCTCTCATTCCCAAGCATGATTGTGCTTTAAGCTCAGGTATGTTTGTATAACTGTCAGATAATATGATTTTATAAGAGTACTCCTGATAATGAAAATCACTCGCAATTTGACACTCTTTGTGGTCCAAACAAACATGTCTGTTATTCCATTACACAATACTCCCAAGAACATTGTTTTCCTCTGGTTCATAAGAGTTCTAATTGGGCCATTAGTATTTCTACCCCTTCTTAGTGTGGTTTCAAAACCAGCTAACAAATTTCCTGGTGGCAAATATTCTTTCTCCCATTTGCACTTAGTGTTCTTATAAAGAAAAGCTGCAAATAAATGTAAAACGTATGATTAACCTTTAGCTGACATATTTGCAGCACTGCTAGGATCATACTGGCAGCAAGTACTGGTATTTTTCCACCATATATGTTATGGGAAAAAATAGAGAACATAATTATTTTTATAAATTTGGCTTCAAAAATAATAATGAAAAAAGGAGACACTGGGCACAATTTAGAGGAGGTAGCCCTGCCAGCCTGTATCACATCCTGCCAGTTACTATGTTCACTGGTGTTGGATTTGAACTCATCTTTCCCAGGAACAATGGGACTTGTGTTTCTTTTAATCAAATTTCTATAAAAATCAGGAAACCACAGAAAAGTACTTAATTGCTGTAATTGAAGGTCCATTTCTTTACATGTGGTGGGGACTGATAGGGCTGGGAGACTGGTTTTCAACTGCTCAAAATTGCTAATAGACTTTCTAAGTTAAAATACCTAATTAAATTATACAGTTATAAAAGATATCACTCTAGACCAGAGCAAATTCACTCTGAAATCAACATCCATCATTTTTATGGTTAGAAAAACCTCTCACTGTTACATATATTGTAATAAAAATTACATTAAATTTCTCTTACATGATATGCAGGCCATTTGCTTCAGAAGGGACTGAATATTTGTGACCTTGTAACTTGTACTGAGACCTTAAATATCAAAATCAGCTTTTATAGCATTTGAGAAGTGAATAAGTTATTTCCTGAGTTAAAGATCTTACTGTTAGATTGCTTTTCTGTAGCAAATTATTATAAATTAAAAAAGACTGACCTGGCTTTTTCCTGGTCTGGTCACTGTGCGCCAGGGATTATTTTAGCTCATTGCATTTCTAAGGAAAGATTTTATCAAAATTATTTATCCTACAGTAACGGAACAGAGAAAAACAAAATTGTGTTTCTTCTTGTGCCTCACCTCTCTGTCCGTGTAAGAAAAAATAAAATCTGTTAATGCATAAATGCATAATCCAGATCTTTCATGAAAAATAGACTAAAATGCTATTAAGTGCTTTAAGCAACACTCCAGGGTTTAAAATGCTGGGGTTACACACACACACGAAAGTCATCTAAAAGACTAAAATAATGATTTCTGGGTATTTTTCTGTTCCTCTATGAAACTGCAAAGAACAACCAAGTAACATTCTACTGAGTATGTAGCTTCACCAGGATTTTAATTATCACATATGAATCCCATGAGACAAAAATGCTTTCCAAGCCTGTTGATAGAATGTTACTTTTATATGGGGATTTTATTTTCTCCACATATGATGGTTGACACTGGACTTTTTTTGTTTATTTCCCCCTCTGAAGTTCATCAAAGTTAGGAGATAAAATCCATGCAAAAGAATGTGGGCGTGTTTTTATAAACAGGCACGACCTCCTCTTGATATTTTCAATATCAGGCCTAGTGAAGACTTTGGACACAAGGAGGGCTGCTCCAGAAGGGTGTAAGGGGAAGGCTAGAGCGTAGCAAGAAAAGGGCTGATTATGATGTTATGTGGAGATATTCTATGAAAATAGCCAAGGTGTTTCATTCAATTACCTCAGATTTTACAGAACTCAGTGTGAACCACAGAGATGAAAATGCTGCCTGGCAGTTCTTTGACTGAATCTGAAGAGTTTTTATTTTTATGCAGCATATGTGTGTTTAATTTGTTGTGTGTTCTCCTCTCTTGTCCCACCAATATTAATGGGTTAAGCAAAAAGAAACTGGTCTTTGAGACCTAAGCTAGATGCTTTGCTGGTTGATGTAATAAAAAGTAGCTTTTGACAGAAAGTAATAATTTTCTTAACTGGAAAAAAAGCGTCCAAGTGTCTTGAAGATCATGATTTCAGTTTAGTTTTCCCACTTTCTCCAACATGGTGTCTTTTTATGCCAGGTAATCATCTTCCTCTAAGAAAGGATGTGTATAGAAGGCTCAGAAATGGCTAACAAGGTTTACACATTAAATTACCAATAATTAAATCACCAGAAATAGAGGTAGTTTTAAATAAAACTTCAACTCTTTCTAGCAGATTTAGTGCAGCTAGTTGGAGCTAAGCTGAGGAAAATTAAAGGGTACTAGTTTAGCCTTTTTCTCAAAGTAACCCCAAAGTAAGAATTTTTGTCATGGCATGATCTAATCCCTTCCCATTTGAGATTTTTGACCAAAATGGTATCATGGTCATAGTTCTCCAAGGAAGCGGTTTTGTAAAGTAGGTTCATGCTTTGAGATCTATCCAACATGATACTGGGTGTACTTTTTCCATTTCAAAGTCCCTGTCTGCTCTCAGATGACCTGGAGTGCTATATGCAGTGCTGTACCAAAATCCTCTGCTGCCAAAAATATCCGTTATCTGTTGCATCTGTAGATGTTAACACTTTCCTACTTGAGAAGGCTTGAAATTACCATGTTAATAGATCCCATCTCTTCCTCAATGCAGGCTAGAGACAAGGGACACCACCCACCACCACCCAGAGTCAAGTCCAGGTTCCTATAGGCTCCCTGCACAGAGCCAAATGTGGGGGAGGAGGGGGAGATGAAGTAGGAGTCTTTATGTGTGTATGTTAACTTCAGTGCCTAGGACTTCCTCACTGCAAGGAAAACGTGTGAGAATTCACTACTCAAGGTACTTTACTGGGCTCCCACTGCTCTCCAGATTCCCCAAACTGAGTAGTGGTGAAAATAATGTGTGAAAAGATGCTGCCTGATCGCGGTGGATTTGACTCACTGTCTGTGTGCGTGCTTGGCATGACATCAGCAGAGAAATAGCAGGTGTTTGAAGTGATTGAACTTCCAAATCTTACCTGCTTCCCCAAAATGTAGATGTTCAGTGGTTTGGGAGAAGAGAGGTGGCCTTTAACACTGCAACAGTCATAGTTTTATGAAGAAATGTGATGTTTAAGGAAGAAAATACCATCTTTTGTATTTTATACATGTATTTCTAATGTAATTTCTAGGGACCTAATGCAGTGTTTATATTAGTGCTTTATATGGAATAGCTTCAGAAGCTAGGAAGATTAGTTCTGTCTGGGACTGGTAATATTTTTATAAAATGAAAGTTAAATATGAGTGCTGAATGAATCAGTGTGCATGCTTCAGTATGACACAGTTAAAAGCCCTATAATTCAAGGAGATATACAAAACCTAAGACTATAATTGCTCCAGTGAAGTAAACCCCTGTGCATCTCTTAAGGCAGAAACTATTAAATACTTGGAAATGCTTCCACTATTATGTCATGGGCAACTTTAGTCTCAGACTTTTCCTATATCCCAAGGTAAACCTTGGAAATTTTAATTTTGTCTTCACAAAGGCACAGTGCACAGAGACGTTTTGCCATGAAAAATGAATTCTGAGCTATTCACAACCCTATAAAAGAGATAAACACATCAGATTAGATACATTTTAATTATGTTAATCACATACCACATTTAATGTTTTCTTAAGGATAAAAATTACCATAATATGATTAATTTTAGATTTTCTGACATTGAATAATTTCAGAAACTGCATAAACCTGAAACACAGGATATTTCATTGTCTTGGTTCTCTGAGGTGGCTGAAAGGTCATTCTTTAAAATTCACAGATTGTGAGGCGAGGTAGATTGCATCTTTTGTCATTCCAGCTCCCATCTGTGTACATCTCTACACATTTTTCTGTCCTTTTGCCGTTAGGCTCATTTTGGTGCCACTTGGTATAATTCACGTGCATGCCATTTAGATACTTAAATTGACCTGAATCCTCACCCTCTTTAATGCCCAGGTAAGCATATTGGTTATACTTTTTCACAATACCCAAAATAGCTTTATTCTCCTCTTCATTCATAGGTGTTGCAAGAGTTCCTCTAGCCTCTTCACAGGATGCTAATGCAGATGCAAAATCAACTTTTTTCCCATTGGTGGCAAGTATTTTTTCTCCTACTTCTCTTATATTCCCGTTCAAAACAAGCACTAAAACATAAAGAAAAAAACCCCAACTAGTTAGCTTTTTCAACTTCCTATTGCATATTGACAAGAAAGCAAAGAAAGAGAAATCAAGAGATGAAGAGAAAATGAAAAGTGATTAGAGAAACAGACCAACATGGTACAAGGCTGAGGAGTTCCCATGAATTCATGTGGAAAGTCCAACATCATTTAGTTTATTTTTGTTTTATAAATCATATTTGAATAAATGCACATCAGTGTTCCTGAGAGAAATCTGCTTCTCCAAGGAAAATGAGTTCTGATCTCCCCTGCTTTTTAATGAGGAAATTGAGTTTTGGGATGTAGTACCATTTTCAGTTGCAATTTCTTTATTGCAAATCATGATGCTGTAATTTTGCCTCTTGCACTTAAAACTGATGGTGAGCTGAAAAAGTAAAAATTGGAAAAATTACCGGCTTTAAGTCTGGAAAGTCGGTGTTTCAAATTTACTAAAACTTTGTGGAGTTCAGTGTTCAGAGAATTGGGTAGACCTACAAATTAAAAAAAAAAAAATTATACAATCAAGCAGGCACTGCTAATAGGAACAATTCTTTGGATAAAACCAATCACTTTCCAAAGCTAACTGGCACACAATGTATATTTTTAACATCATCTGGTGTAAAATAAATATTTTCACAGTATTTTTTACACTGTTGTTAGCCTATATTAAAGCAAATAAAATCCTCCAACCTATTGAAATATGCTAATTATCATATTGAAATATGATAATTCCCCTCTACACAGAAGAAAATGATTTTTTCTAGCTTGAAGCTTTATGTTTGTCAAACAATTTGTTTCATTCTAAATAATGAAGAGGCACAAGAGAAATTTTTGGGAGGGAATAATTTCTATGGCACCATACCATTTTCTTTTTAATCTGCTGGGTTGGGTGGATGCTTTTTTTTTTTTTTTACAGTAGGATCTTATCTCAGTGGACACCACAAACACTGGTATGGAAGGGTCTAGATCGTGTGAAATACAGTCCATCCAGCACTGCTTGCTAACGATAGGAACTGACTGTAACAGTAGATAACTTTTATTCTTTTTTTTTTTTCTGTCAAATCTCTATGGGTAACAAAGGTCTTACATATAGAATAAAGTTAAGAGTGTGCTTCCATGATTGGAATCCCATTATTCACAACTAAAACAAATGACAATGTAGAAGCACAAAATATGCTGCATCTCCCCCATTCTGAGTTGCATGTTGCAACCCATACTTCACTGCACAGTCAGTGAAAATATGACATATTTGACCCAATAAAAAGTCCATCAGATGTTACTAGGACATCAGCCTGTTTCACATGATGGTCCAGTATCCCCTTTTTTTTGTTTCTCACCTTGTGGACAAGTAAGTTGTTTTACAGGAGGCCGCACCAGGCTTCCAGAGGCTCCTCTGAGACCTGGAAAAAAAGTAGAGAAGCATATTTTTCTTTCCAATTGATGCATATTCTAGAAACTTTAGGATGAAACAGAACTTAATATCAAACTGAAATGTATTACATCTGTGAATTTGATAGTGCTTTACCCTTGGTAATGGATCCAGAGAAAGCATTTCTACATGGGAAGAAAATTACACAGTGAAAAGTGTTGCTTCCCAGACTACTTTTGCACATAGCTTCTTTGAATACTACAGAAACATGCCAGAAGCCTTTTAATTACACTTGTAAATGCTGTAATAACATTTTCTTCATACTTAAAAAAAAAAAAAAAAGAAAAAAGCTTCTGCTGCGAAAGAAGCCATATTGTTTGGAAAGTCAGTGGAAAGCACTGCAAAGATAGATACATGTATGTTTATGTGTAATACAGTTACATGTTTAAGTATTGATAACCTGCTCATTTCAACAGAGGAGAGAGAGAAGGGTTCTCTTCTAGAAAAATAAAATTAAACGAGGTCCTTTTTTCAGTTTTCCCTTCTCTGCTTAACACACCTGCTTCCTCAAAGGCACATGTCCTAGTGTGTTAACTCTTTTTATTCATGCAGCCTCATGACAAGGATTTGTTGAAAAAAAGGGATGTTTAATTACCTGATAGACGTGTCTGTCCTTTCAGATTGTCCCTGCCAGGCAGCCCAGGGATACTAGGCAGCCCAAGGATTCCTGGATATTTAGGCAGTGCATTGCAAGTCACTACCAAAGCAGCTGCTGCTATAAGCATGTAGGATGAGTAAGACAACATGATTGCTCAGGCCAGCTGTAAGAAAACCCGTGTTTTTGTCAGGCAATGATTCTGTAGGAAATTGTAGACATTTGCTTATAGAACTGAATACTCTCCCCGCATCTTCTTCCTTGCCCCCATCTTAAGTTTTTTTTTTCCTTTTTGCTATCACTGACTATTTGTTGGATTAATCCTTGAGAAATGATGTGCTCATATGTAACTGATAGCTCTTAAGCCATTAGCTGTTTTTAAGGGATATAATTATTCAATGAAACATGGGTGTATATGTTACCAATCTGAAAAGCACAATCTGTTACAGTGGTTGTTGTGATGTTCAGACCTAGTTAGCAATCTCTTTAAGCACAGTGTTATTTAAGCACATTTCTTTGAAATAAGCAGAGTGATAGTGTTTTACACATGGCCAAAATTTTATAGCTCAATTATCATTCCTACCTTTTTTGAACAAAATTCCGTAAGCTTGAAAGCATCAATCTTGTAGAAAATGCATTTTTGCTGGTTGGTAATAAGCCTATTAATCTTATTTTATCCTTTCAGATATAACATTAAGTGGCATTATAATCTCAGTCCCAAGAGATCATGACTATCAAACACTTTTATCCTATAGATCATGGGTTTACAGTGCAGTTACTGAGTATGCAGCACTGGTTACCCTGTGTGGTTATAAAACCTGAACCGATGGATTATCAGACACCATAGCATGGAGTTATCTAGTTATTGCCATCATTTAGTTAAAATAATGAGAGTTAAAGAAAGGTTCAAGATGCCGAAATGGATATTGCTTTCTAGTAATATGACCCTGTTGGGTTGACTCTCAACAATATAGTTTAATACCCGACTTCACCTTTCTTTCAGCATGAATTAGAGAGGATCACGTACTACACTCTCTTAAAATCTTCCATTCTTAAAAGTAAAAATCAGAATTGATATAATATGTTCTAAATCCAGCTCCACTTAAAGTTGAGAATAAAATCTTGGTTGCTTTGAATGCTGCAAGATTATTAACACCTTAGTTTATCAGATGAAACATGGTATTTGTTTTGAAGCATATATGCCAAGCAGAATCAAAATATCAGTTTATTGTTATTACCAAGTGTTAAATTATAGAATCATGGAATGGTTTGGGTTGGAAGGGTCCTTAAATATCATCCAGTTCCATAGGCAGGGACCCCTTCCACTAGACCAGGTTGGTCAAATTGGACTGATTTTTTAAAACCCAAATTATTGTTTATTTCTTCCAGTCTGTCTCTGTTGTAGAAGGCTTTTGACATTATTCTAAATTTGCAACAATACCAACTATTTTTAAGGGTAAAGTTCACTTGTTTTTCTAGAGGAATGTCTCATCAAAATGAAATCAGTGAGACATACACTTGAACGTATGAATATACACGTCTGTCAAAAATTTTGTTATTTCACTTCATATAGAATCTGTTTAAGTATTAGCAGCATCCATTCTTCATGGTCAAGAATTTCCACTTTAACAAGTGGAAATTTCAAATCCACCTGAGAACACATGTGGTGTATTAAAAGCATTGTCAAATTTCACGTGTTGAATCTGAAGTATATCAAGTTGTATACCTTTTACTATATTGGAGGCTAGCAGACACCTCTGACAATGATAGCCAATTACTTGGAAAGCAGATTATTAAAACCTCTAACAGAAACCTATCTTAGGTAACTAGGAAGACTTACCTCCCTGAGATAAGGAAATACAATTACAACAGGTACTCTTTGTCTGGAGCTGATCATTCAGGGAATTACATTTGAATGGACTACCACATTTGGCTCATAATTGTATTATGATGCAGAGTCACAGTCCTGATCAGTTATATATCAAAATGGAAAAAGCAGCTGCTCAGTTTTAATCCAGTTTTGATGACCTTCATCAGTCATTACAATCTGGTGTCCTTTAGGCATCTCCTCATCTAGTAAAATTGCTAATATAGGCAAAGTAAAAAACAAACAACAAACTAATAAAGGAAAACTCAATTTAAAAATATAAATATGACCACAGAAATGGAAAGGAACAGGTTTGCCTCCTAGCTGAAGTTCCTTGTGATTTATTAAAAGGAAATTCAACTTACCGTTCTACTTCAAAGTGAAATGAAAGAGCAGTTCACACAAGTCCCCTTTATATAGTGTTTGTTTGTTTAATGACATCGCTGAAGTGAAGACTGAATAATGAGGATAGGAATGAGCCTTTTCAGTTTTGCTTACACAGTTGTCATGCAAATACTGAGGACAATTATAAGGGTTGAGAAATTTACTTTTATAAGAATAGAAAGCTCAAGTTGGAGAAAAAATAATCTAGAACTAACAGATCACTCCAGATTTGTAGACACATACAAAATTTATAAAAATTTAAGGAAACTTTTGGTGATTCTAAGTGATATTGTAACAATTTTTTTTTATTGTTTAAAAAAGAAAAAATGGCATGTGACCACCAGCGGCTTTTGTAGAAGTGCTCTTGTTAATTAGGGAAACAGGTTACTGTGCAAATAGAGTCTGATCCGATAATCAGAATTCTAAACTTTGCTTCCCATCTCTGTATCTGATGTACTTGTCTTCGTATCCTTTTTTAACTGTATGTACGCTCAATATTTCCGTGAGCACTGTGAGCATTTAGTCTCTTTTACATGTAGAGTACAGCTAATTCTCACTTGGTCAGAGATGGATCCTGGAAAAATCTCTATACGTGCATATAAAGATTTTCTAGTAAAAACCAAACAAGAGCCTTGGTCTTCTTGTTTCCCAGCAATAATGACTGGGATCCCGTGAGTAACTTCCTTCTGGTTCCAGTGCCACCTTTTGTAAGGACATTTATGTTTGACCCTAGCTGAGGTTTGTTTTATGAACCTCAGCAAGCCAACACATCATTCCCTCACCTGTAAGATAGAAATACCTCTGCTTCATAGCTTTTCTCTGTTTTGCCAATTTACACTTATCTCTTAAGGATAAAGTGATTTCTCCTTTTCACTTTTATTTTACAAAAACTACTTGAGTTTTGTCATGATCCCTAACTATAATGTCTTTCTGCCCACCAGTATTCACAGGTGGAAGTTAATATCTTTGGGTTCCTTGTTCAACACATACAGAAATGTCTAATATCAACTGGCTGATCTAGCTAAGAGGAAATACTAAAGGAGAAAATATGTTTAGGATCCCCATTGGAAGTACTTTGTCACGTAAATCCACTTCCATTCACAACTGTGATACTCATCCTGCAGTTAAAAGTGCTCAGCATGGTCTGTCACCTCAAAAAGAAAAGGGGGGGGGGGGAGGGAGAAGACAAATGATCTATCAACAGTCATAACTGTATGCTATAAACAGTCTATCCTTCCTTCTCTATCAGTCTATCAGTCCTTCCTCTACCTGATATGCAGCAAATCTTTGAATGTAGGCTACTCATTTTACAAAACCTCTAAACCCACCAGCTGAAACTATTTCCTTCTATAGTCCAGATGAGATAGATGAAAAGACCTGGCATTAAGCATATAAGATGTGGATTAGATAGTACACAGTCAGTAAAACACTTTGTTTCTGAGTCCTGCTGTGGTTTGGTAATGCAGAGATACCAGGCAATTCAGCACAATCAAGACATGGGTAATTCTGTTTCTGAATGGCAGCAGTCCTCTGGCATACCCGCAGTTATAAGAAATATTTGCAGTCGCATTATAAGATGGAAATTAATGGATCCAGATATTGTGAAGCACTATTTTAAATTATTAGTTGTCCAGGTTCTTGGGAATTAAACTTCTCACATAGATCCGGTTTCTAAGCAGCTCTGCAAGAGTTGTAATGTCTAATACTGTTCTGTGGCATCACTGCCCATACACATCCTTCCCACACCTATACATGCAAATTTAATATAGGAACAACATCACACACAGAGTTTATATTAAAAAAAAAAGAAAAGAAAAAGGAATTGGAAACATTAATCAGGGAATCAGTAAAGCCCCCCCAGCTACACACTTTCTCTGTCCAGTCAGGAAGGTGTGGCATGAGCAAAACATTGCTAATAATGGCTTAAGATTTAAAAAAACTTCATATATTTTTACCTTCTACCAAAAATTTCAAAGAAACATACATTTGGCAACAGTTCTTTTCCCGTAAATCAGATTATGCTTACACAATAGAAGCTGATAAGAAGTCTGGAACATAATCCAGTGTGAGAGATTACTTAGTCATTAGATTTACTTTCCTTATTATGTGGCAGAGAATTAGGGAAAACAAATATACTAGAAAAAGTAAGAAAGTAAATATTTTTTCTGTAACCGGGCACCCATGTATAATAGCTATGAGGCTTGGTATTCTGAAATTTACAAATAAACCTGAGGGGTAATGACTGAAGATCATTTACTGGGTAACACCCACAAAAACAGCCAAGGTACTCTAGTGGTTTCAGTGAACCCCATTTGCTGTGTCCTTGCTGTCGTGAAGCAGAACAATAAGATTCCTTATGATGTCCCCTAATGCACTAAATATGGTGTGTTGCTAGTGATAGTGATTTAAACCCAAACCCTGCTCAGCTATTAGCAAAGGAGAACTTGGAAAAAAAAAACAGAATCTGATTTTCAGAGATGCTGTGTACCCAGAAAGACTGCTGCTTTTTACAGCAGCTGTGCATGCTACCCTCAAAAAAAGTAACTTCAAAACTAATAACTGCCAAGGTGGTTTCAAAACCAGAACCAATTTTTTATAGCCTTCAAACCTCTAATTTACAGAAAACAAGGTGAACTTTCCATTTTGCTCAGCACATTGTTTTGAAATGAGCTGATTCCTAACAACCTTATCATAGCACAATCTGCATATAGCTCATGTAGCTGTGCTGTACACACGTGTAAATGCGGTGCTGTACAGCCACACTAGTTTAGCAATCTGCAAGACGTTAATCCTAAATATGTCACTGTGCTGCAAGTTCCTAATATCAGCTCTGTGTGGTAAGCAGGTGTGGTCAATTCTCCATCTTTACCGTCAAAACAACATTAATTTTTATATTTGCCTAGTACTTTCACTGT